CCCAAACCCACCCAACACCCTCCCAAAACAGCCCCAAACCCACCCAAACCCCAAACCACCCCCAAACCCTCCCAAAACAGCCCCAAACCCCCTCCCAACCCCCTCCAACCCCCCCCAGGGCTCCCCTCCCCTCCCATTCCCGGCCCCAACCCCCTCCTCCTCCTCCCTCCCAAGGCTCCTTTTTCCCCCTTTTCCCCCCCAGTTTGGGGTCCCGGTGCCCACCTTGGCCTCGAAGCAGACTCTGCCCTTGGTGACCCCGTGGGTGCTGCGGGCGCCGGCCCAAAGTCCCGGGAATTTCTCCGGGAACAGCGGCTGCCCCCCGTAACGGTCCCGGCTGGCGCGGAACTGCAGGTCCGACGTGTCTGGGGGGCACAAAAACAATCAAAATCGTCCCCAAACGGGGCAAATTCACCCCAAAATCCACCCTGAGTTGATCCCAAAATTCCTCCTAAAAACTCGCCTCAAATCGAGCCCAAAATGCTTCAATTTGTCCCCAAACCCCACCTTAAATAGACCCCGAAATGCTTCAATTCGTCCCCAAAATCCACCTTAAATTGACCCCAAAATGCTTCAATTCATCCCAAAATCCACCTTCAATTGATGCCAAAATGCTTCAATTCCCCCCAAAACCCACCTTAAATTAACCCCAAAATGCTTCAATTTGTCACAAAACCCACCTTAAATTGACCCCAAAATGCTTCAATTCATCCCAAAAACCCACCTTAAATTGACCCCAAAAAGCTTCAATTCCTCCCCAAAACCCACCTCAAATTGACCCCAAAATGCTTCAATTCCTCCTAAAAATCCATCTCAAATAGACCCCAAAATGCTTCAATTTGTCCCAAAACCCACTTTAAATAGACCCCAAAATGCTTCAATTCCCCCCAAAACCCATTTTAAATAGACCCCAAAATGCTTCAACTTGTCCCAAACCCACCTCAAATCACCCCAAAAATGCCCTTAAAACTCCTCAAATCGCCCCAAAACCACCTCGAGTCCCCCCCAGGAAGCCCAAATCCAAAGGAATTCCCGGATCCATCCCAAATTCCCGTACAGGTGTCGAGGATGACGAGGGTCTCGTCCTCTTCCCCCTCACGAGGCTCCTCCTCCGGCGGCGGCGGAGACTTGGATCTGTGGGAACGGGAATGGCGGGATCAGGGAGGGGGATCCAGGGGGATTCCTGGCTCCAGAGGAATCTGGGGAGCTCTGGGATGATCCCTCGGCTCTGGGGGGGTTCCAGGGGCTATTCCAGGGGGATTCAGGGAGCTGCTCCAGAGGGATCCTCATCTCTGGGGGCTCCAGGGGAATTCCTGGTCCCAGGGGCTCCACAGGATCCCCAAATCCAGGGACATTCCTGGATCTGGGGGGGCTCCGGGATGATCCCTCAGCTCTAGGGGGGTTCCAGGGGTTATTCCAGGGGGGATTCCAAACTCTGGGGGGATTCAGGGATTTTCTCCAAGTGCCTCCCTGGCTCTGAGGGAGCTCCAGGGGCTATTCCAGGGGGATTCAGGGATCTTCTCCAAGTGCCTCCCTGGCTCTGAGGGAGCTCCATGGACTATTCCAGGGGTATCCCAAGCTCAGAGGGGGATCCAGGGAGCTGCTCCAGGGGCTATTCCAGGGGAATTCAGGGATCTTCTCCCTCCCTGGTTCTGAGGGAGCTCCACTCCCCCCCCCACATCCCGTGGGATCCCCATTTCCAGGGAGCTCCGGATCAATCCCGGTGCCTCCCCCTGTGCGGGGCTCTCCCGTGCCCAGGGGTCTCTCCATATCCCTGGAAAAGGTTGGGAATTCCGGGCTGGCTCACCGGCTGTTGTAGGCCTCCTCCCGGAACTCGTAGTAGGCTCGGCCGTGCTCGTCCTTCTCGTCCCGCTGCCGTTTGAGGCCGCGGCGCTCGGCCTCGGAACCCGCGGCCTGGGACTTGTCCTCCTCATCCCCTGGGAAAACAGATCCCAAAAAAACCTTGCTGTCATCTCCAAAAAAACTGGGAAAATGCAGAAAAATCCGGCGGCGGGAAAATGGCGCCGCTCGGGGGTTTTATGGATCTCCGGGAGCGGCAAAACGGCCCCGCCGGGGGGGAAAATTCCAAGGGTTTGGCTTTGGTTTCCGTTTAACTCGTTAATAAAGGAATTAGGAGAAATATTCCATGGAAATCTGGGATTTCAAAGGCTTCAGTTTCCATTTAACTTGTTAATAAATGAATTAGGTGAAATATTCCATGGAAATCTGGGATTTGTCCAGCTTTAGTTTCCATGTAACTCCTTAATGAATAATTTAGGTGAAATATTCCATGGAAATCAGGGATTTCAAAGGCTTTGGTTTCCATTTAACTCATTACACAATAAATTGAGTGAAATATTCCATGAAAATCTGGGATTTCAAAGGCTTTTCCCAACTTTAATCCTGCTTTTCTAGCAAAATGACCCGTTACTAAATCATCTTCCCAATCCCCTGGGAAAACATCCCAAACCCTCCAGTTTAATGGGAAAATTGAGTGAAATATTCCATGAAAATCTGGGATTTCAAAGGCTTTTCCCAACTTTAAATCCAATTTTTTAGCAAAATGATGCTCCCAGTGTCCCGCAACCCCGGATAAAATTCCAATTGTTTCCCTAAAAAAACAAGTTAAATGAAGACATTCCATAAAAAAACAGGGTTTTAGGGGCTTTTCCCAACTTTAATCCCATTTTTTTCCAAGATGATCCCCCAGATGCCCCATTAGGCTGAATGAAATTCCATCTGTTTCCTTAAAAAACGAGTTAAATGAAGCCATTCCATGAAAACCAGGGGGTTTAGTGGCTTTTCCCAACTTTAATCCCACCTAAATTCCAAAATGAGGCTCCAAAGGCCCCATTAGGGAGGAGAAAATTCCAACTGTCTCCTTAAAATTTAATTAAGTGAAATAGTCCATGAAAATCCAGGATTTTAGTGGTTTTCCCCATCTTTAATCCCATTGAAATTCCATTTAACTCGTTAAATAATGAGTTAAATGAAGATACTCCATGAAAATCAGGGATTTAAATGGTTTTTTCCAACTTTAACCCATTTTTTTCCCAAAACTATGCTCCAAATGCTTCATTTCCCTGGATAAAATTCCCATTATTTTCCTTAAAAAATTAATTAAATGAAAAATTTCCATGAAAATCATGGATTTTAACAGCTTTTCCCAACTTTTACCCTATTTTTCCCCAAAATGATGCTCCAAATATCCCAATACCCGAATCCATCGGGATCAAACACATCCCAAACCCTCTGGAAATGGGATTTAGGGCCGGATTTCAACTCTGGGAAGCAACAATTCCCACTTGGAATGTGAGAATGGGTGAAATAAAACCCCCAAAACTCTTCAAAAACTCCAAGTGGTGAAAAATTCCAGCGGGATTTTCACGGAGGAGGAAAAACTTGGGATCAATGTCCGTCGGTTTAATGAATAACTGGGAAACCTGGGCCAAAAAACGGATTAAATCCTACAAGGAAATCCAAGGAAACCACAAAACTTCCCGAATTTCAGGTTCTTTGACCAAAAAGAAGCCAAAAAAATCGTTGAAACTTGGAAATCATTCCATGAAATCCAAGTTTTTGCACTTTTCCAAAGCCCCTTAATGGGGATTTTTCAGCTAATAAGGATTTTATCCCATAAAAATCATCATTTGGGAAGATTCTGGGGATGGTTTCTCTTCATTCCCAAGAAAATCCTGCTCTGCCATCACCACAAATCCTTCCAAAGTCGGGAGCTTTTCCCAAAAACCAGGATTTTTCCCTCCAAAATTACGATTTCCCCCCCCCAAAACCGGGATATTTCCCTACAAATCCCAGGATTTTTCCCCAAAAAACAGGATTTCTCCCCAAAAAAACAGGATCTTTCCCTCAAACCAGAATTCCTTCCCCCAAAACACCAACTTTTCCCCCCAAATCCAGGATTTTTCTCCTTAAAACCCAAATTTTCCCCTCCAAAATCACAATATCCCCCCGAAAACCAGGATCTTTTTACCTCAAACCAAGATATTTCCCCAAAAATCCCAGGGCTTTTCCCAAAAAACAGGATCCCCCCCCAAAAAAAATCAGGATTATTCCCAAAGAAATCAACACTTTCCTCCCAAACCAGGATCTGCTCCCAAAACCAGGATTTCTTCCCCCCAAAATTGGGATTTGCCTCACCAAAACCAGGATCTTTCCCCCCCAAAAAACTGGGTTTTTCCCCAAAAAAAATAGGTTTTTCCCCCCAAACCAGAATTTCTTCCCCCAAACTTTTCCCTCCCAAATCCAGGATATTTCCCTACTTTCCCAAAACCCGGGATTTCTCCCTAAAAAAAGCCCAGGATTTCCCCTCCATCAAAATTCAGGATTATTCCCCAAAAGCCAAAACTTTTTGTCTCCAAACCGGGATCTTTTCCTCCAAATCAGAATTTCTTATCCCAAAACCAGGATCTTTCCCCCCAAAACGAGGATATTTCCCTATAAATCCCAGGACTTTTCCCAAAATAACAGTTTTCCCAAAAAACACAAGATTTTTCCCCCAAACCAGAATTTTTTACCAATAAACACCAATTTTCCCCCCCCAAATCCACGATTTTCCCCCCGAAATCCCAGGATTTTTCCCCCCCTAACACGCTCCAGTCCCAGCTCCGGCCGCGTTCCCGACGCTCCCGCTTCCCGCTCGGATCCGACGCTTCCCAATCCCAACCACCGGGAGCAAAACCCTTGGAATTCATTCATTTTCCCGCTCCAAAAGACTCCAAGCTCAACTTTTCCCCGCTTCTTTTTCCTAAAATCCCGATTTTTCCCTCCCCTTAAAGAGCAGCTCCAAAGGGAAACCCCGGTCCCTGTTCCCATCCCAGCTCCGGGAAGCAGGAAGTGGCCTTTAATCCCAGGGTTTTTGGCTTCCCAGATGGAATAAACCCCCCAAAATCTTTGGAAGAGGAGGAAGGGAAAGGCAACGACCCCACCCTGGATTCCCCCCCCCCCAAAATTAGGGAATGGGGGGATTTTGGGAGCTCCGGGATTGGGATTTTAGGGGGGAAATGGGGGTTTTATGGAGTGAGGGGGGATTTGGGGGTGGGTGAGGGGGGTCTGGGGGTGTTTTGGGGGGGGTCCCAGGATTGGGCAGGGTGGGATAACACCGGGATAATCCCGGGATACAGGGATGGGGGAGGGATCGCGGGGTCCCTCCCGTTCAGGGGGGGGTCAGAAGGTCCCTTTTGGGGAGTCTGGGGGTCCCTCCCCGGGGTCCATTCCTGGTTCAGGGGGTCCCTCCCAGGGTCCGGGGGTCCCTCCCGAGGTTGGGGTGGGTCTCTCCCGGGGGTCTGGGGGTCATTCCAGGTTGGAGAGGTCCCTCCTGGGGGTCCATCCCTGTTTTGGGGGGTCCCTTCTGGAGCCCCTCCCCTGGCTCAGGGGGTCCCTCCCGGTTCGGGGGGGTCCATCCCCAGTCTGGGGGGGGCCCCTCCGGGGGGTCTGGGGTTCCCTCCCAGGGGTCCTAAAGTCCATCCCAAGTTGGGGGGGGGTCCATTCCCAGATCGAGGGGTCCCTCCTGGGGGTCCGTCCCGGTTCGGGGGGGTCCATCTGTGGTTTGGGGAGTCTCTCCGACGGGTCAGGAAGTGCAACCCAGGTTGTGGGGGTCCCATTCCCGATTCGGGGGGTCCCTCTCGTGAGTCGGGGGGTCCCTTATCAGGGTCCATTCCCAGGTCGGGGGGGTCCCTCCCGAGGGTCAGGGGGTCGTAAAGTCCATCCCAGGTCAGGGGGATCCCTCCCGGGGGTCCATTCCCGATCCTGGGGGGTCCCTCCGGTGGATCATAAGGTCCCTCCCGGGTTGTGAACGTCCCTCCCGGGGGTCTCCCCGCCGCTCACCCGCCTGCGCTCCCTCCTCCTTGGCCTCGGCCGCGGCCGCCTCGTCCCCGCTGGGCGCCTCTTCCGGCGGCCGCTCGGCCCCGTTCACGCCGCCGCCTCCTTCTCCTCCTCCTCCTCCTCCCTCGGTCGCTCCGGGCTCGGCCTCGGCCGCCGGTTCCTCCTGCGGCGGCTGAAGCTGCGGCGGCTCCGGGCCCGCGGGCTCGGCCGGGGCCGCCTCCTCTTCCTCCTCCTCCTCCTCCTCCTCCTCCCCGGGGGGGCCGGACTGGGCCGGGGCCGCCTCGGGGGCCGCGGCGGCCGCTTCGTCCTCGTCGGCCAGCAGCGCTTCCTCATCTTCCTCCTCCTCTTCTTCCTCCTCCTCCTCCTCTTCCTCCTCCTCCTCCTCCTCCTCCCCTCCGTGGTGGTGCCGCCCGGCCGGGCCTCCCGCCGGCCCCGCTTCTCCTGCTCCTCCTCCTCCTCCTCCTCCGCAGGCCCCGGGCGCGGCGGCCGGGCCTCCCCCTCCTCCTCCTCCTCCTCCTCCGCCGCCTTCCTCAGGCCCCGCCGCCAACATCTCGGCGTCCAGGGCCTCCTGCAGCCGCTGCGCCAGCTCCACCTTCAGCCCGCGGGCGTCCAGCCCGCGCCGGCCCAGCTCGGCCCGCAGCTCGGTCACCTTCAGCCGCTTCACGTCCATGGCGGGTCCGGCGTGAGGGGAAGGGAAGGGGGGGGGAAAAGGGGAGGGAGGGGGTGAGGGAGGAGGGAGGGGGGGGAAGCGGAAGCCGCGGGCGCGCTGAAGCGGCGGCGCGGAGGCCGGAGCGCGAGGCCGGGCCGGGCCTTCAGGGGAGGCCGCGCGGGGCGGGGACGGGGAGAGGGAGGGAGGGAAGGAAGAGGCGGAGCCCGCGGGGAGCTTCGAGGGGGGGGGAAGGACGAGGCGCTCGGTTGTTTGTGAGGGGAGTGAAGGAGGGGAAGGGGGGGGGAAAGAGGCCCCGAGGGGGGCGCGGACGGAGCGCGGAGCGATCGCCGGGCCCGTCCCGCCGCCGCCGCCGCCGCCGCCTTCAGCTGCGCCTGCGCCGCCCCCCCCCTTCCTCCTCCTTCCTCCTCCTCCCCCCTCCTTCCCGCCCGCTCCGCGCGCGCGCCGCGCGGACGCCGCGCACGCGCACACCCGCCGCCGGCCTGCGCGCGCTGCCGAAACCCCGCGAAAACCCCTCCTGCGCCTGCGCAGTCCCCGTTTCTCCCCCCCCCTCCTTCTTCCCGCTTCCCCCCCCCTCCTCAGCCCCACCTACGTGCGCAACGGTCGCCGCGAGTGTCGCCTCGGCCCCCCCCGCCCCCCCCGCCTTGAAAATCGGATTTTCTGATTGGTCAGAAAATCTGGTTCTGCCCGGCGACGTGGAGAAGCCGCGGGCTGATTGGTCGCGGCGGGGCGCGCAGAGCTCCCCTCGGCCGGTTTCCCGCCCGCCGCCATTTTGTTTCGGTGCCCCGAAAGGGAGGGGGGGGGGGAAGGAGGGAGAAGGAGGGCGGCTGCGGGGAAAGTGACGGGAAAACGTTAAATAAATATATTAAATGTAATAAACTTAAATGATTCATTTGCTAGTTAAGCAAGGCGTGTGTGTTAAGCTTAATTAACCTTGTAATGATGCAAATGATGGAGGATGGACTTTCCGAAAGGAGGAGGGGACTACTTGGAAACGCGGAACTCAAACTGTATAAAAGGACAATCACCAATCGAATCGGCGCGTGTTGGCTGAGCAGAGACTCCCCGCGCACCCAGCGCCGCTTTGCTTTTTGCCTCTCTATATTATCTTTGTATTATTTTACAATAAATCACCTAACTATTACAATTGGAGCCTTGGAAATTTATAGCAAATTGGGGTACATTTATAATAATTGGGGGCTCGTCCAGGATCTCCAGGTGGTCTCCCGGGTCATGTTCCCTTCCTGAGAGGCGCCCCACAGGTTATTCCTTGTGGCTCGGGAGGGAGGGATAATAATCGGGGCAGACCCTCGGAGATCCAATAAAGAAGAGAGGCATTAAGCAAAGGAATTGGAGCTCCCAGGTAGGGGGGAAAACTGCAGCCTAAATTCCCCGTAATTCTGGTGCACGAAGATCCCAACGAGGACGACGGAGTCGTGAGTATGGGGGATACCGTTGGGTTGGGTGGAATTTGGTTGTTTGTGTGTGTAAGAGTGTGATCGGGACGGAACAGAGTTCCGAAGCGAGTGCGGAGGTCTTCTGTTATAGTTAAATCAAACCAAAATATTTGAATTTAAAAAGCAGTAAAAATTTATTATAAGATTTATTGAAAGTGCAAACAAGCAAAACAGCGCGCTGGGCTCCGCTCGCGGTCCACGAGCGCAACAGGCAAACAGCAACATTTATACCTCTATTAATTTTCCCTCCCACAGTCATCTCTTAATTGGATTTAAGTTCGTGGGCTCCGTCCTGTTTGGTCCTTGTTTCGTGGGCTCAGTCTGGTTGCCGGGGGCTTCCCACCAATAGTTTGATTAGTCCACTGTCCCTGATATGTGGGACTTTCCAGATGCTCGTCCTGGTTCCTCCTTATCGTCCTTGTCCTTGACCCTCTGCTCCTTATCCGTCTCCTCCTTGCCTTATAAGTACACTTGGACAATACACTTTTAGAAAAACAGGATATAGTTACTTATTTAGCAAAGCATAACAAGTTGTCATGTCAGCATTATGGTTAACTATTCTGCAACTTAGGAGTTTTTAGCATGAGCAAAGCTTTAGCTATATTAATACAAAGTATATTAATTTAATATATAGTTTGATGAGCAAATTTATTTCATCATTAGCCGCTCATTACAACTATAGGGATCGTCGTGAACCCCTTATAACAACTATAGGGATTGTCACGAAAGTAAGAAATTAATTGGGAAAAATAAAATGGGTCAGAATAAAAGTCGGAATTCTAGCCAAAGAAAGAACTCTCAGGAAAAGTCTAAGAATAAGAATAAATTGCCCAATATACCACCTGAGAGTCCTTTAGGACTGATGATTAAACACTGGGGCTCTTGGCCGTCTCATGAAGGGAAAAGCAAAGAAAAAATGGTCCATTCTTGTATAAAAGTTTGGGGTGGGAGGGAGATTCGACCTGACCATTTACATTGTCAACTTTTGGGTCTTTTGATGCTTGGGTGTGTCAGGCCCTGAATTTATATGAAAACAATAAAAAACCTTTTAATCAAGAAGAAAGTGACTGTGCAGCATTATGGAAAGGGGCAACCACAACAGTTGCGTTCTGCCTTTGAAAAGAGGAAAAGAAAAAGGGGAAAAAAATTGGAAAAATAGTTGTGGGAACCTCTGGATAATTTACCCCCTCCATATCAGGGACAGGAGGAAGAAGAGGGACCAGAAACTAGTGGGGGATAAAATAATTCTGGCACCTCTTAGGGAGGTCCCCCTGGGAAGGAATGTAGGTGGAATTGGGTTCGTATTGGTACCATTAAATATGGGAGATGTCAGGTCCTTTAGGAAAGAAATGGGTCGATTATTAGATGACCCTTTGGGGGTCTCAGAACGATTAGACCAATTTTGGGGCCCTAATATTAGACCAATTTTGGGGCCCTAATATATGCACTTGGGAAGAAATGCAATCAATATTGGGAATTTTATTTGCTGCAGAGGAAAGGGCCAGGATTAGACAGGCTGGAATGAGAGACTGGGAAAGAAGACATCGACGAGGCCCCCCTGGAGAACAAAAATGGCCAAATCAAAATCCTAACTGGAATCACCAAAATGGCCAGGATAGACCAAAATGTGGCAGATTTAAGGGAAATTATTATACATGGAATAAGGGAAGCAGTCCCAAGAGGACAGAATATTAATAAGGCTTTTAATGAACATCAGATGAAGGACAAATCTCCCACTGGTTGGTTAGAAAGACTAAGAAAGGTGTTCCAGTTGTGTTCGGGTGTAGATCCGGCATCCCCAGTCGGAGAAGCCCGAGAATTATTAGGATTGTTGGGATACTGTAGCCAATGGATTGAAGGATGTAGCGAAAAGGTAAAATTCCTCTGTGAGAAGCTCGCTGCAAACGTATCGAAGTGGTCCTTAGATGATGAAGAAAAGTTTAAATACCTTAAAAATGTATTAATGGAAGCACCGGTTCTAACCCTCCCAGATTTAAAGAAACCCTTCCAATTATTTGTAGATATTAACAATCATACTGCATGGGGGGTTTTAACACAAGATTGGGCTGAAAGTAAGAAGCTGATTGGATATTTTTCAGAATGATTAGACCCTGTTAGCAGGGGTTGGCCAAGCTGCTTGCAAGCCGGGGTAGCAGTGGCCTTATTAGTGGAAGAGGCTGGAAAAGTGACCTTCGGAGGATCCCTAGTGGTGTTTTCCCCACATGACATCCCAGGGGTTGCTCCAACAAAAAGCAGAAAAATGGTTAACCCATAACAGACCGTTATTATTTGCAGATGGATCCTCACGAGTAACAGAGGGAAAAAGAAAATCAGGGTGTGCAGTCAGAGATGGGAAAACGTGGGAAGTGTTAGAATCGGGCTCGTTAAGTGCAAGCTGATCCTGCCCAAGCACGTGAATTATATGCCCTGTTGAAGGCATTAAAAAGGAAACAAGGAACCATTTTTACAGACTTTTGGAATGGTCCACACCTTTGGGAAAATATGGGAAGAGAGAGGGTTAATAAATACCCAAGGAAAAGGCTTAATAAATGAGGAATTAATAAAATTTATTAAAATTTATTAAATGATAAATAACAATTTATTAAATAATAAAATTTATTAAAAATATTACGAGCCATAAGGGAACTGGATGCAGTAGCTGTAACCCATGGTAGAGGACTTTTAGCACAAAGCATCCCACGAGAGTTTTCAATAGATAAAATACAACCGGGTGATTGGGTATTAATAAAGAGTTGGAAAGAGGATAATTTATTACCTCGGTGGGAGGGACCATTTCTTGTTCTTTTAACTGCAGAAACGGCGTGAGAAGGGCAGAAAAAGGTTGGACTCTTGCAACTCGAGTCAAGGGACCGGTAGAACCCCCTCCTATGGAATGGGCTGGAACGTCTGAACCGGGAGATCTCCGAAGGAAGATAAAAAGGACACGGCCGGCAAATAAATCACCCCAGAAGGGAAGCAAACAATAGTTTATAGCAGCGGTTCCAAATACCCCCTGAAAACACTGTGAAAAATATATTGGAGTTGGGAAGGACACCCAATCAAACGGGAGGGGCTGGACTATAAAGTGAACAGGAACACCTCGGGTCTTCCCTTTGTGTTGTGAAATAGGAACACCCAGAATAGAAAACATCTGGGAGATACCTTCCATGAACTCCCTACTTCTGGACATTTAGGTTGGGTTGTTTGCAAGTGTCTGCAGTGTAATAGAGAACGGTCCTGCATTTCATTTAAAAGGCAACTTTATTGTAAACAGAGATTTGTAAATTGATTAATTGGCAAAATTAGAACCTGGAGCGAAACTCTAAGCAAACGTTGTGTTTCTGAGATCGCAGGAATACGGCTAAAAGAGGCATTAATATCAGAGCAGCAGAGGAAAACTCCCCAAGAATAGCACTGCTGCCTAGAAGAATTAACACCTTGTTACTCCCTGCAGAGGAGTAGACGAAGGAGGCAGAGGAGGGGTACAATCGTGGAGACAATCCTGCTGAAATAAACTTGCCAACAGCCGATCCCACCGGGACAAACCGGAAACTGAATTACAGTTTGCGGAAATGAGTCAAGTTCCAGTGATCATAAGTTTAATATTTATCACACACGTAATAGGAGACCAACCTTTTGAATGGACCGTTATCAGATGGGATGGTCCACAAGTAATTGGGCGGAATGTTACAGCAGGATCTCCCACCTTCTCTGTCACACTGTGCCAAATGGTGCCTGTCCTGCCTTGCTCAGACCAAAGCCCTTATTACTTGTGTCCTGAATTTAATCCAGGGAAGGGGTATTGTTACGATCCTAATCACTATTATTGTCCACATTGGGGTTGTGAAACTATTGCTTCTGACTGGTCCCCTCGTCCCCGGGACGAGTACCTAAAAACGACGTGGGGAC